ACCGAATTCAGAATTTATTTACCTTATTATTTCAAAAACATAGTCAAGGTTTGCCAAATGAGTTAAAGACGAGTGATGAATGCACTTGGCGAGTGATGTTCGTCACATTTATATTGTGTCAGGATAACTATAATTAGGTTTGAGATTTTGCGGGACATGCGATATCTACTCACAATGAAAATATCGGACACACTTCAAAATTACACTTAAATTATAAAATGAAACCCGCTTCTCCATTAATTGTCATGTACGAAAATTGAATCTTTGGGACATGCAGGAATCATCTAGCCCAGAAGCGCCTATTTACCCTAGAAGTTATGTGTGCTTTTTGATGCAAATTGAATTTGAAATATATCTTGGGTCTATTTTAAATCTTAGTTCAATTTCCTGCAAGAAGTGCAGTGCTAGGCTTCGACCTCGTTAATAGTTCTAGAGCGCTAGAAAGTGTTGGACGCGAGTTGAGCAATAAGTAATGTCATTGCGATTTAAGAGAAAGACAACCTGGTATTAACGCCGTCAGACGTGGCCTGAGGGTCGCTCTGAAATAAAGCACTGTCGTTGTGCGTCGGCTGCTGTAGGAGCTCTGGACGCATGCGATGAACTACAAAGCTTCGTCACGGCGCTCATTTTTCTGCAGAAAAAAATGCATCTGTGAGGTTGGTCTAGGCCACCCACCGCTTGCCTTGCTTTGAGAATGTAATGCCTCTGGAAGCAACTGAGTGCATGGTAGTCTAGCATTCTTGCCTCTTTCTTCAATATAGATTATTTGCAAACTTGATGTATATTATTTCGCCTTTTATTTTTATTTCATTTTATTTTATATACAGATTTCCTTTTTTTTTGCCCCAATGAAGCAAACATTAACGGTTTTGAGTCGTTTGTAATAAGAAAATTACCGTTTATAATATGAAAAATAATAATCTCGGCAACTGAACAAGCCATTTGTACGGATACTTGGAATTTATACGAAGAATAAAATAGCCGTTTACGCCCGCCAAGTCGCTTACGTTCGAACCCCAAAGCCCATTCTTTCGGTAGCTATTTTAAGTTCGTCGAACCGCAATAGAATTTTAAAAGGCTGACTATATGAGCATATACTGAAGGAACGCGCATATCGCCCTGATTTTCATACAGCCCGCACACTCGGCGCCTACGAGTAGGTAATTTCTCATTAATTGATATTGGCAGCACAGGAGCAGCAATTACTTTCGCTAGACCTTCGCTAACTGAACGAGTTTTTATTCCGCATAATGCGCCGGTGAATACGTAAAATTGTTCCCCCCCAACCACCTTCTGTGAGAGCAAGAGTTTCAATTACGCTGTAGTATCAGAACATACAGAAGATCTAATATCGTTTCATTTGACCGGATATTTTGATGACTGACGATAATTTCAAGTAGCTACTAGATTTCCACCGGGTTCGATATGGTGCTAGGCATTTCAAATCTGAACATATATTTTTCCATAGCTTTATCTAGTGTTGCTTCACTCGAGTTCACGAAAGAATTCACGGAGGAGATCCATCACAACTTATATGAAGAATTACCGGTAGAATGTGCAGAAATGTACTAAATATATTCGAAACCATCGAAGACACTTCAAATAAAATTATTCATAAGATCTCATTCTTTGATCTTTCATGGAGAAAATGCTGATGATTTCTTGTAGTCCACTTGCCGACCACATCTTTGAAAATTCGTATTAACCACACTGTATAGAGCGACCTGCAAAGCCGAACGTTTAATTATTTGGAAACTCTGTATTTTTATTATTCGTATACTTATTTCTGGTATTGCTAAATATTCATTCTCCCACCGATACCAACTATTCACTTGGTGAATAACACAGTGCATTAGCACGAGTTTCAATTCAGTGAGTAAGAAAAAACAAACTCCCCGTTGCATCCAGGTCAATTGAATGAGCGTGTCAGCAGGCACATGAGAGGCCTTCTGTTATCATAAAATAGCTTCACTGACACAGACTGTGAGATATTCGGACTCAGAACATTATTATTAGTGTAAATAGAACCTGTAAGGGATTAGGGAAGCATGAGGCGCATCTACATTCTAAAGCAAGCTTGTAAAGTTATGGCTAGGGAGAGTGAGTGGCCTCGTGGAAGAAAGAAGCCTCTGTTCAGGTCTTCGAAGCAAGGAAACTAAATTCAAGACTCATTTATAATTAGTACAAACAGCAGGATGACCTCTCCTTGTACTTTGTGTACTGATTTCGTCAGTAATCATAACTTAATATGAAGTTTAAATGAATTATGTTTGGACTAGCTCATTCATAATTCATTAATTACGAATTATGAATGAGTCCAATAGAAAATTGAAAATTTATACTCAACTAATCTAATTCATGGTAAATTACCCATCGGTTTCATGGGTGTACGTTGCTTAAGCTTTATTGTATTTGATTAGATAGTCGATCAAAATCAAGTGCGCATATTCCTTTTACTCCGTATACACTTTGATGCATACTTTTTGATGAAAGCCAAGGGGCTATTTCTTTTGACGTGAGCGAAGAAAACTGCAAAGACTTAGTGGTGGAAACTCATTTGTTTGGTCCTTAATTCACCACTATCTGTTCAATCGTGGTAGCTAAATGTATGCATTCATCGTAGTTCTTTCTGAGCTTAGCTGTGCAACTTCATTCAGCGTCCAACTGAAAGCCAAGTCAGAAAAATTCCTGTTGTTGATAAACCTCCTATTTCCTTCAGAGACGCGCAGCAGACAGCTGTGCTCGTGCATTATATTCCTGCAGAAAAATTATCGAGTAAACGGGCGCCGTTGTTAATTCCATTTAAAATATTTAAATGGAACATTCAAATTCCATCATTTGAGTAATTAGGGTCCTGTTGTACCCATCGCACTGACCAAAAGAGAAATTAACTACACTTTCGCCATTGCTTTCATGATGAATAGGCTGCGTTTTCTCACAGCTCCTGCACGTAAGCAGTTACGGTTTAAGTGGGAGAAAAAACGTTAATTGTCTTCTCTGCTTCCCCTGTAATCTCATGTTCGAAAGTATTATTAAATTAAATAAAAGTTATTCAAGTCAAAGTTCACGTAGGATAGTACAAAATAAGACAACACTTACGAGAAAGACAAGAGTTTCTAATCAAATTTCAGGTTCATGAATTTATAGTTAAAAAAAATATGACAATTATCGAAAAACTCTTACCAATATTATCGTAGAACAGACAATACCGAACTCCTTTGCAGGGCTCGAAACATCGCTACTAGGAAGATTGTTTTTAAGAGATACCTGATGCTTAAAAAAAATTACACGCTTAGAATTCACAATTCAGCAAGCAGATTTTAGATACATGTTTAAGGGATCATCTTAATCTTCTAATATACATCCTTCATTTGAACTTCATCGAAGTTGTGACTGCAATCTTTCTCGGTGGAATGAGACACGCGTGCTAACATGCTACCTAACCAAGTTTTTGTATGTTAACACGACCATTCCTCGTACAAGTAGCAATAAATATGCAAAAGCTTAACATATTTATTTTAAAACATTTACTAGACAGCAGGAAGCCCTAGGGCATCCTCATGCACCAGGCTAAGCCACAGCTCTTACAGTCGCCGCAATAAGCGTCTAAACATCAAGGAAGTACCAAACCGATCATTGAAGCCGTCCTGATTGCTGGACGTTAATCACCGACGCTGCAAACATTCTGTGGTGGACGTTTGAATGTTTCAGAGACAAACGGCAAGTGGACCTGCAATTCACTGCAATTGATTTGTATTGAAAGCATTTTTTTCTTAGCACCAGAAGCCATCTTTCCTCTAGGTGCTGCTTGCCGCCTGGAAGTCAGCAAGAAAGGGTGAAGATGGTCCAAGCTTCGAAGTAGTCCTTTCATATTGCCTTTAGTGGCGTTTTGGCCTCGCAATTACCTGCAATTGTACTGTTCTTACATTGCGTTACAATAGTCCAGGCATAAAACTTGGCTGTCTAACTCACCCTTAAAGTCTTTCACAGGCTGGAAAACGTTCTAATCGAGTGGGTCTGAACGTGAATTAAAGTTTCTTCGACGTGTTAAAGATGATCGAGCATTCCCCGAAATTTAGATAATTTTTGAGCAGCTGCAAGGGACCGCAGGCAGACTCCACTCAGCAATTTCATGCATTGTGCGGGAAAACGCAGATCGTGGTCGACCAAACGCGCATAAATTGGACAGAAATGTTTGAAACATTCGTCTTCCTTGAACTCGGCGCCATGAGTCAGCTTTACGATCGCCGTCTTGTAACTAAACGTGGCCCGCAAATTTAGTGCATAATGAATCCACTTACATAATTTCAAATATTATTACAGAGCTTTGAGAAAAACAGCTGGAAGCAACTATAGATGTTATCAACACGAATTCTGATTCGCGCGCATTAATTCAGGGTTGCGTGAGCTGATAACGCAGTGCTGTATACGCAGCTCGCATGTGCTCAACTAATACAGCTCTGGGAAGCACTTTTACGTTTTCACGATACAAACAAGACTAACCCTGATGAAAAACCATTGATTCGCACTAGGCTATAAATATATTAATATGCGCACCTTGCGGCATCTATTAATTTTGTATATTTCGGAACGGTTTTCTAAGGCGTGACAACTTTCGACACTTGAATCGTGTTAATTATTACGATGTTCTAGCAACAATGTATTGAAAATAATACAATGAAGCAGTCTTATGACTATGCCGTAATTACTTCAACTGCAAATAAGCCTTGATGAAACAAAAGTAGCAATTTTTGCGACTAATATTCTAGCAAGTAAATCCTGCTTAGGCAGCCTTAAGGAGCATGGTTTACAACGATGCAGAACTATTAAGTAAAATCTAAAAGCTTTATCTATAAATGTAGCGGTAGCGCTGTAGCGGCAAAACCTTGTATCGCTTCTTAAATATATAGCGGGCGCTACCGCTACCGCTACAATTGCTTAAATGTAGCGCCGCTTCCGCTACCGCTACTGAAAATGTAGCGGCCGCTACATGTAGCGCGCTACTGCCCATCTCTGCCTAGATCCAAGAATTATAAAGTAAAGTAAATGGAAATTTTCATCGAGAACAACTAATTAGTTCGATTCATGAATTATAAAGTCCACGGACAGTTTGTGAACATTTTCAGTAGATTGCATCATACGTTTGTTTATAATCTCAGTGTAATGAAGCCTGTAAAGTAAATTGACAGAACTCGAACGTTACATTTAGAGTGCACTTTTAAATTTATTTTGCACCTTCGCCAGTCACTAAACGCCTAATTTCATCCCTTTTTTGGTCGACCAGCATTCAAGTGCATTTGATAACATAAGTTGGGCATACTCAAACATGGCACGATGATATTTATCACAATGTGTACTAACACAAGACGGTCATTAATTTAAAGCAATGTATTCATCGTTCTAACTAATAGTGGCTTCATAAGAGGCATATACACACCAATTAATGTACGAATCGACAATTCATGAAGCCAAGTGATGCCATCCTCATACTCTTGCGATCATAACTTGAGTGACATTCATGTTCTGTATAAGTGCATTTATTTATCTAAAAATGTCCCCAAAGTCTCATTTTATGATCGTGCAGCGTCTGGAAGCTGCAACTTGTCTTTCACACGCAAGTCTCGTCTGGTGGCGCAAGGCATGAAGAGCCACATGACAGCAGCCGTTAGCTGCAGTGCAGAGCACAGCATCACACTCAGCATGTAGGACGAACTCAAGTCTCGCACCACTCCTGTGAATAATAACAACCGTATTCAGTTGGTGTTAATTGGTATACCCGCATTAAATACGATACTCAAGTCTCGCACCACTCTTGTGAATAATAACAACAGTATTCAGTTGGTGTCAACCTTGGTCTACAGACACTATATACGATACTCAAGCCTCGCATCACTCCTGTGAATAAAAACAACCGTATTCAGTTGGTGGTATACATTGGTATAACCGCATTAAATACGATACTCAAGTCTCGCACCACTCCTGTGAATAATAACAACCAGTATTCTTATTATTACTTTTGTGTTATTATTGTTAATAACAACGAGCACGCTTGCGTGCACAATATGACGCGCCCACGGCATGCACCTCTTGTGCTCTGCAAGTATTCAGTAGGAACAGCAACTGCCAAGTTTCGAGTTGCCGTACATCTCGGTCATGAGCTAAGTTGTTACAAAAATATTGCAAATAAAGTTACATATTATAATATTACAAATAAAGTTACAGAAATATCTCGTTAAATAAATATTCATTTAAATTACCACTAATATAGCAACTGTTATTTCCGTTACAGCAAATCTTTCTTACCTCGTAATATCATTTGATGTTCAAATAGTTTGCGTACGACTTTAAAGTCTAAAGTGTAAGATAGATAAATAGTTTTAGAGCGTAATTAAATTAATTAAATGGACCTTTTATCTATTTAAAATTACCAGTGAATAATCTATGCGAGAGCAATCTTCAGAAGCGAGTTCCAAATGATCTCACATTTTGTGTTCAAAAATCATTATTTTTAAACTGGATGCTTACCTCGAGAAATTCATCTTAAGTGATTCCGCTTTCATATTTAACGGACCATTTATATTCATTGTATACAACCATTCACAAACTATTTCGAAACAAATGCACCCGTTGAAGGGCGCAGCTCGACCATAAACTCGTGCGAACAAACTCATCCGTTATGGAGTCCGGCGTGACCGGAATCTCGTGGGAAAAACTCACCCGTTGAAGTGTCTAGCTTGACCGTAAATTCATGAGGACAAACGCACACACTAGAGGGCCCAGCTCGACCATAAACTCCTGAGAACAAACGCACCCGTTAAAGGGCCCAGCGTGACCGTAAACCAGTGAAAACAAGCGCATCCGTTAGACTTAGAGGACCCAGCCTTGGCCATAAGCACGTAGAAACAAACGCACCCGTTAGACTTAGAGGACCCAGCCTTGACCATAAGCACGTAGAAACAAACGCACCCGTTAGACTTAGAGTTTGGCCATAAGCACGTAGAAACAAACGCACCCGTTAGAGGGCCCAGCCTTGGCCATAAGCACGTAGAAACAAACGCACCCGTTAGAGGGCCCAGCGTGACCGTGACCAAAGCAGCAATGAGGCCACACGCCCCAATGGCGGGGATGTAGCCCTCGATGCCGACAGTCTCTATGACTAAGACCATCCACAGCCCCATGGACACGCCCACCCCCGTCCCCCACACGACTAAGCTCACCAGCAGCAGTCTCAGGTCCCACAGCAAGAAAGGGGAAACTGTAAGCAATAAGTTCTGAATTATTTGCCTGTCATAGAGTTGTTCTATCCGTTCCTTACATTGGCCATTCGATAGAAATCTTAATTATACATTCTTTAATCATCCGTTATTCTTTGCTGACATAATGCAACACGAGATAACAAAGAACTTGAAAACAAGTGACGACAAACGTAATGTTCATATAGAGGACACATATAAATAAATAAGAAGGGGGATGAAGCGCAGTAAAAATCATAATGGATGACACCGTATAATGAACTAATCCTGACGATGAGAGAAAAATAATTAAAAAATTAACTATATCATATTAAAGTAGCACTGGTATAACTGATGACAGTAGGTCACTAGTAAACATCAATGACACTGCGAATATAACATTTTCTTTTGTTAGAAAATTTGCTTCGTGAAGTCTTGCCGAGCCTCCAGTGCAAATTTGCCGGTGGTAGGGTAGACTAAGCTAGGAGAAGAAACAAACCTTGCTAAAATCGTTTGTGGCGTTTACAAAACATCCGTAGACTTTATTTATTGAAAATGCTGTTCTTTGAATGTTTTATAGTAAGGGTATGTTTTTGATTCTTTCTTGGAAATGTGCAGTTTGAGTCCAGAAACAGAAACCTCATCAACATACGCCAAGCCATCGCCAACAAATCCGTCTACCTATACTGTATATGCTTCAACGAGTGGAACGGAACTTCAAAAATTGATTAAATGAATGCATTGACAATGGGGACCGTCATTTGTCAGATGTCATCTTTAAAACTAAGTGATACAAAAATTAAGGTGTCTTTTTTCAAAAAAATGTATATTATAATGATTTTTTAACTAGTCCTCATTAATTTTATTGCGCTTTCAAATCAGGAAGTTTCCGTGAATCGCTATTTAAAATGAAGCCATAAATATGCGATTCAAATTTTAAAAAATATCTAGTAGAAATCCAGTAATGAAATTTTTGTTATCAAAAAATATTCAGAGAAAATGATTTCATAGTCGTCCAAGATCTCATTACATATTTTTTGTGATATTTATCACAATAATATGTTGTTCTTCTTTGTGGGTATGCCGAGAAAGAAGAGGGAGAATTTGTAACACAAATTTAGGTTTTCTATTTAAATGACCATATTTATTTCTTTAGTCAGAGGAATACATGTACCATCTCACCTAATCGCATTCAGAAGACCATAATGTCTTACTAAGTAACGCCGTGACATGTTTATTTGATTTACGAGGTGCGCAATTCCATATTATTAAAGATATATAATAGTTTAATAATGGACAATGATGATAAATAAGATAAAAAATTCATGCAAGAGGACAGCTTAGCCGGACTTCACAATTATAAGCTATAGAATTATATATTAAACTTCTCTCCTTGAGTGAGCCCGAAAGTAATTTAGTTTTAAGGAATTCTGATCTCAAAGCCACATCAAAAGTTCCCTTGATAATCGTGAGCAACCAGAGCACAAGACACCAATGCAATAGGCATGGTTCAGTCGTCAAAACAATAACTATAGTTAGGTTATTATTTGTTATTCTTGATTACTCAGTAATGGAATACTTAACACAGTAATGATATAACTATATTATTATAATACAATTATAATATTTTCCCTGCAATTTTGTACACTTTTCATGAGTCTAATAATAATTATTACATAATCTGTCAATTTTTCAACAAATTATTTTCAAAAATTTTTTTACCTAACCTAACTAAAATTTGGTATTTGTGTTAGCCTCAGCAAAAATAATTTTAAAAATCAATTACTGTCCAATGAGTTGACAATGACACACACGCAAAAATGTTTTGAATTATTTCTAAGTTTTTTAAGTAAAATTCTCATGGACGAACCTAGAGAGCCGATCGCTGCTATAACTGAACCGCTCATATACGCATGCTTGTTGGAGAACCAAGGACGGTCGGCCAGAGGAGCCATCGACAGTCGGCCAAGGAAGTTGAGGAGAGAGCCACAGGAAACTGCCAGGGCAGCGTTCGTGGCATTGTAACCACTAGATTTCATCATTAGTGGCACCAATACCGCAAAGTTTGAAAAACCCACGAGAAATACTGCAAAAGCAAAACCGTTGATTAACACTCCAAATAATTTACAGGACTCGAAGCACCTGTTGACTTCCTTTGCGATATGCTTCACGTTCAGTGATTTGTCAGGATTTTCCTCATTAATTTGAGTGTTTTCTTTTTCATCTATTGTTTCGAAGCGAGGTAAATTCTTCATATCCTCTGGTACAATCGTGTTTTTAGGTACATCTTCGGTCGCTTCACATACTCGCTGATGCCGCTTGACTGGCTGGAAAAGTGCACTTGTCACGACCGTGTTTAAAATGAGTCCCGCATGCACAAGTATTGCTCCTGAGGCTCCGAAGGCTACTTGCAGGGCCCTTATAATTTGCGGGTTCGCCACTAGACTGAAACCCACGGTGGCCACATTCAAGCAAATTACGAGACCGCGGTGCTTCTCGAAGTATTGCGGCAGGATGACAAAACTCACTGAGTGGGTCATGCCTGAAGATAAACCTGTGAAATGGATAGCAATAAGTTGCATGGTTGCATCTCACGGTACAATCTTTTGTCGAATACTTGAGTACAATTCAAGAATTATCATGATAATCTAAAAACTCAAAACCTTGAGCCTTGGCGTTTTCTTCACTGCAGAAAATGGGCACATTTTAATCCTGGCGAAATTTTAGAAGCAAGACAAGCTACAAGCGAATTTTAATTTAAGTATCCTAACCATTTAAAACAATTTTTCATTTATACTAATGAACTTATCTGTAGGCTACAACCACTTTCAATGTTTTTCTCAATTTAAACAAAATGAGAGACTTAATGCGAAATATTTTTATATGTACTTAAATTCTCACCAAACACAATCCCGAAGAGGAAAAACAACGCCACTGCAGAGGTGCTGAACGCTAGCAAAATATATGAAAAAGATGCAACGGTGGAGCAGACGAGAGCCACCCTCCTCTCCCCGACGTGCTTGGTTATGGGCCCCGTAACGACGTAGGCGATGTAGAATAGAAAGACGTTGACGTTGTACGTCCACATGGTGAACGTGGCTGGCTGGTCCGCGATTCGTGAAGTGAATTCAATGCTGAAGCATGAATTGGTTCCGACTAATATTGTCTGAGAAGTAGAACATTTTTCACTCGTCTCAGACGTTTTAAGTTATGCCAAATAAACAATATATAATTTTAGTTCAAGTGAAATTGAAAAGTTCATTAGAAATTTAAAAGCGAAGAAAACGCCACAAAAATTCAGCATTTCTCTATTGAAAACGTTTCGGAGACCAGCTCCATCGTCAGTTCGATAAATCTAGAACACAAAAACAGTCAGAAAATTAATAAAGTTTGGAGTCATAAAAAAAAACAAAAAACAACAGAAGTTAAAACCTAAATTTACAGGCAAAGGGCAGAATAACAAAGAAATACCTATCTATTCACAATATCTAATGGATAAGAACTGTAGGCAGCATTCAAACTAGGCTTCTCTTTAAAGATATGCAATGATTCCAAAATGCGCAGAAAAAAAATTTGGTTCAAACCAATAACAGTATCATGAATATTTTTAAACAAAGTTTAGTCGTGCACGATGTGCATCTTCGTACGTTGGGATGACGGCACGCAACCTTTACACTAGGGTCGCTGAGCATAAAGGGAGGAGTTATAGGACTGGGCAGTTACTATCACGCCTTTCTCATTCGGCTGTGCGCACTCACGCCGAACAGTGCAACGTTCCGGTGTCCAACACTGACTTTAAGGTTTTAGCTTTTAGTTCTGGTGCTTCCGATCTACGCATTTTGGAATCATTGTATAACTTTAAAGAGAAGCCTAGTTTGAATGCTGCCTACAGTTCTTATCCATTAGAAATTGTGAATAGATAGGTATTTCTTTATTATTCTGTCCTTTGCCTGTAAATTTAGGTTTTAACTTCTGTTGTTTTTTGTTTTTTTTTTCTTTTGACTCCAAACTTTATTAATTTTCTGACTGTATTTGTGTTCTAGATTTATCGAACTGACGATGGAGCTGGTCTCCGAAACGTTTTCAATAGAGAAATGCTGAATTTTTGTGCCGTTTTCTTCGCTTTTAAATTTTTAGTGAATCTGCGATTCAAGCAATCTAGTGACATTATGAAAAGTTCATGAATAGGGCGTTGAAAAATTTTTAAATCCGTGCTAACGATAAATTAAATTTTTCATCTATGAGTTTTACAGAGCAGTAAATTAATTTAATTAATTTTCTGTTAAGAATATGTATTTCATAAATGATAAGACTATAATATATAGATTTTATGTGTAGTTACTAGGTTTAGATACTCGCCGTGTTGTATATGCATGCTGCCAGCACCACCCAACCCCAGCCGCCGTCAGGGGCTATACGTTTCTCCGGGCAGCTTCCTTTGCTTGTCAAAATTTTATCAAACTCGCCCATGACCAGCGGTTCTTCTTCGTTTATTGCAAGCGCGGTTATCCTGACTATAGTTTGGTTTCCTTTCTGTTCATAGCAGGAGGAATTTGGCCAGCGTTCGAACTTACTTCGCTTTTTACTCTCTCTTTCCTGTGAAAGTGCTTGACTCACTGCAATGTTGTCTCCAATCGAAGTCACTCTTGTTGAAGTTTCATTCATGGTGAATGATTGAAATTTTTTGAAAATGGAGTTATTCGCCAAAATCATAAATAACCCGATCAACTAAACTAGTCCGTAATTTTTTATAATTTGCATGATTTGTAGAGTTACTGTCAATGGCCAAGGATTATAGCGTCATATATATTGCTCGAGTTTCCTGGGGAAGCCTGGTAGCAGAAAATACTTTAATGTAGGGCAATCATCATCTTGTCATGTAAACATTTAAAAGATATGATTTCGTCTATTAAATGTTTTTTCTAAGACATTCAAAGACAAATATCTTTTATGACATTCCAAGACATTTGAAGTAGTGCTTCAAAATGAGTAAATTTTGAAGTGTGCCAAAATTCAGTACAAGCAGAAGGGAAATATGTAAAAAATAACAGGAAGAAGGAAATTTTATCATCTATATAATGGTCTAAAAAACCTCACAAATGAAAATTTTAAAATTAACTCGTCGTAACCTTTTGTTTTCTCATAATATTGGCTGGCTTCAAATAGATCGTCAATCAAGCTTAGCAAAGGAGATGTAAATTTCACAAGTGATAAATCACGGAATGTTTTTCGATCTCTGACGATGGCAGGTAAACATCAAATGGCTGTTATCAAGAATAAGTAAACATTAGGATGGAGAGAACAAAACTACTTTTTTTAATTCGTTATCTGATAAAGGTTCCTTAATGTTGACAGCTTCTAACTTTATTAGTAAGAATGTCTAGAATGGTCTTTTTCATATTTTTGCTAAAAATAAACATTTTGAAATATCTTGGTGTGTATGCTACATACTCTCACCAATGTTGCACGGTCCACCAGACAACTAAATCTCAGCAGCGTGGCCTGTTCTCCACGTACACGTGCTAAAAACCAACTTTTAGTATCGTTTAATGACATAATTGAATTTCAATTATGATACCGCAACATATTCCAGTCAATAAAGGCCTAAAAGAGGTTCTCACTCGCGCAACTTACAAGTCGAATTATGCCACACTTTGTTTACACATTTATAATTGAAATGTAGATGTTTCTTTCCAATGTATCACCTCGATAATCCAAGACGATAACCTTCCAAAAATAGGCACTAAAATCAAAATAACTCTCTAATTCACATATCTTATAATTTTCTATGTTTCTACAGTAACTGCAAAATGGCTTGATTGTAAGCTTTTAAAAGTGATTCATTTAGAATGTGATCACATGAAACAATTAGAGTCGGATAACTAATTTCCAAAAATTTTTGCACACTCCACGCTAGTGAACGCGCGTCTACAGGTCATTATTCCTCATGCCTCTGGTGTATGCGACGGCCTAGAAAGATATCTCTTTCTTATCTCGTGAATACAAAACGTGAGAACATTGCGCTTTATCAGCATCTCAACACGCGCAACTGATAATGTCAGGAGCAATAAATATCCTTAAATTAATAATATCTATTAAACCAATGTGATAAATAATATATGAACAAAGAAAGCTATTATTGGGTGAAATCACACATGGAAATGATTACAGACGCTGCTTCAAGTTTCAACGTATGGTTTCGTCGTCGCAGCGGCGTCGGCAGCAGGCCCCGCACAATAGGATGGCATGGTTGGAACATCGGAACTCGAGTGTGCTGCGTTAATTTATATTGCAGCTTCGGAATAATTTTCTGTTGAGCCTAATTGCTCTGTTAAAATGGCTGTATATGATATATATGAATTCATGTACAAATAATTTGATTGTGTTTTAAGCGCATTTTCTCATTTATGGAAAAAATGCACTATTGTGCTTGCCATGTCCGTCTGTCTGTCTGTCCGTACGTCTGTCCGTCCGTCTGTCCGTCCGTCCGTGACCTCAAGTTTTCGTCGACGAGAAAATACGCTCTCTGTCACTCACAGCAGTGAGTACTGAGTTATATTTTTTCACGATTGATATTTTCGGGCTGTTGGAATGTTGGGTTTACTGCAAAGTGTGGAAACTAAGGTACTGCCTTGCCAGCACCTTCAACACCAGCGTCGCTACGAGACACACTGAGCAGTTCAGTTTAAACGCCATTTCCAGGGGAAGTTAAGTAACTCGATCAAGATTTACTCACACAGCGCGTGTACTCTTCTTATAGACGCCTTCCCACGCAAGTGTCCCAGAGGCACGTTTATGCGCCCGCAGACTTATTATATATTTCTACCTGAACCTGAGGACAGGGATTCGTTGACTAAGAGCGTGTGTGAGGGATAAGTAAGACACCATCTGTCTAGAGAACTTATCTTGATACGGGGTGGTAATACATGAGAGTTACGATAAAGGTTAGAGTTACTCCAATAGGTCGGAGTAGCTCTAACGTGAGTTACACTGCAGCGTACTTGTTAGTTACTGGGAATCTTACTAAGATTCGCAGCTCATGTATAGGCTTCATATCTCCGTTCATCGCGTTCTTGTCCTCGTGCCACATCTGCTGTGTAAGCTGGTGTCTCAGCGTCTCAGGCAAGCAGTAACAGTAACAGTAGCAGTATAAGTGTACTATAAAAGCTAACTAGGTCACCTGGTAAACACATGAGGATTTGTATCCGCAAAATACTCTCGGACACAAGTCTGTTTATTATATTGTACCGCAGTTCTGATTCAAGCAAATGAAAGTCCACACAATTAATTGTTAAACCGAAGAAAATACTCTTACAATCGGCAATAAGTAGTACTCAGTACCAACACATTTCGTAGCTTCTGTTTGAAAGCTGGTGCATGCGGTTGCTCGCGTGTCACGGCTGCTCGTGTGCGCTCCGCCAGGTCAGATGATGACCGCATCCGCTCACGCAGACACGCCTGGTAACGGCAATGCACATTGATGAAGCAAAAAATTTTACGTCATCTAAGCAAATGTTAGTTCTTTCTAATTCCTAAGATGATCTTCTTTCTTGTCGATGAACGGTGTTAACAAAGTCTCCCTCATGTTAGAGTTTTTCGATGAAAAAATATCATAAATTCTTCCCTTGGGCGAATTCAATCAAAATGTAACATAAGCGCTTTAAATTGATTCAGAATACATGATTTTTTCTGATGCCATGAGTGCTTGCGATGCATTTACAGATCACTAATTTACTACTACGTGGAGAATGGTTTCCTTCGAATTTCAAAACGAGAGAGAAATCGAGTTAGTCATTAGTCATTTAATCCATTTGAATAATTTTATTTATTTAGCCGTGCGTACAGTGATCTTGAAATCTGAAGAGAATGTTTAAAATCTTGTTTAAATAGCGCAAACCCCGCAAAACTTCGTTCAATGAAGGACCGACGTCGCGTAAGGTGAATGACGTCGGGTTCGATTCAACGTAGCATGTCATCACCTTCAAAGCGAAAGCATAGCAGCCAGCTAGATCAATTAAAATCAGTTCATCAGTTTCAGATTATTAGATCAATTCAGATGTATATAAATTAAAAATCTATTCTATAATCGTTCAATCAGTTAATATATACATTAAATAAATTCCTTTGTGTAGTTAAAATTAACTCCGCACTTCATCTTCATTTTAAATTCAGACCGTGACGCGGCTTTGAACTCCTCTTACCAAAAATACCGTCCAAGAGAAAAAATTTCGCACTTCTAATTGTCGGACTTACAGCTTATAAGGTCTGAAGGCTTGGCCCCAATGGGCGATTCGATCCGACAATGGGCAGGGTGATAGGTCCAGAGTCCCGGGCGGCTGGAGTAGAGTGGATCTAGTCATTCTAGTCACTAGTGGAACAAGGTGAAAACGAAGCGAATAGGATACTGCGGATGGGAGACGGGAATAGGAAGAGGGACATGCACGAAGGCGCAGCAATGATCTGTCCCGATACTTCATCGCTACATCACCAACCATCTTCTCCCAATCATCAACCGACTTCACCGAATAAGAACAAACAAGCTGTCTCTCGACTGCTGTTAGAGCGTTGTCATCACTGCCGCTGCTCTGGTGCTTTTTAATAGAATTTTCATTAGAAAGGCGGATAACAATCAGATGCCAACAATTTATAGTCGAGAATGGGTTTTGAGTCATAGGGGTTTTAACGTGATTTTTCGGACCTATTTTGCATTAAGGGTAGAAAATTTTACTTATAACTTAGCTCGTCATTTCCTATACATAACATTCTAATATTAAGATATTAGAATATCTCAATATTATATTCGCAGGACTCTAGCGTGAATCTGACTTCTTTCACGTTGCTGTGTTTAGTGTCGCTGGCAGGTTCTGCGAATAAATTTACAAAACATCTCATATCGTTTAGCCTGGCTGAACTATTTAATTTCTTTTTAATTATACTCGAGCAATGCTGCCCCTTACAAGTCATTTAAGTTCGGATCAATTACTACTGTCATACATGTGAGCCCGTCTTTTATTGATTTAGGACGAATAGCACATATACATATGAGGAGGTCATGAAAAATGACGATGCTCCGCCCCGTGGAGCTCAGTGTGTCTAGCCCGAACGTTCGAGACAAGTGTTCTCTATGCTTCTATTTACGTACTCGTACAAGGACTTCTTCTCCTAATCTTCAGACTTTTGAAACAAAGCTTATGGTAAACAGGATTATATCCGTACAAGAACATTTAGTTGGAGAAACTACATCAAAAGTTTATGATATAACTTCTTACGTAATGAATTGTCTCTTCCTTGAAAGGAATCACCTGGATTGTGGTACGTTCTTTATTTACTGCATATCAGGATCTAAGCTGTGATCCCACCAGTGACTGCAAAAGGAAAACCTGTCGCAACTTCGTGGTCGAGGGTTGCCACCTTCAGTGTAGCTGCAGCAGCCGGTTCGAGTGGTAGCGTGTGAGGAGTATAGTCTGTGTTTGACCCTTATACCTATTGGTGAAGAACATCGCTCAGCTGTTTATAAAGCTCTTTTCGTTTACTCTATAAGACCAGAACATAATCCGCAATTCTTTGGTACTTGCAATTTTTGTCCCAGTAAATGAAAAACTCAAACGTGAGTTATTATCCAAGTCTATCTGGTTACAAGTTTACAACCTTCTGTTTGAATCCTGAACTTGCTATTAAGTGGCTAGGAAGAATATAGGTTTCCTTTAAATGAATGTACAGATAAACATTGGGCTGTTCTCAGGTGACGCCTGTTTTCGTTCTCTCTTTGAACCTTAAATATAACATTCTCTCTTCGAACCTCAGAGGCAACATAATATAATTGGTTAATCTTATATCGAAATAACTTGCATCATGGCAACTATTTCAGGTATAGATCGCACCTGATTGCAACATAAAAGAAAAGTAGACAACTCCAAAGTCTTTGCAATAGCAAAGCTAATGCGGCTCGTCCATGACACTTTCCATGACATTGTGTGCTGTGCCTTGACTGTGAAGCTGTGACCTGCTACGTGCCACACTTGATCAGACTTGTGACCTGCTACGTGCCACACTTGATCAGACTTGTGACCTGCTACGTGCCACACTTGATCAGACTTGTGACCTGCTACGTGCCACACTTGACCAGACTTGTAGCCAAAGACTTTATTGTACTTTTTCCTCATAAATGTTTCGGTCTTAATTTTTGACTCGGATTAAGCTCCAACTTTTTGATTACTGATATGTGACTCGTAAGTTTTAATAAAAAATTAAATTCTATCACAGTGGTCTTTTTAATTAGGAGCATAAAAAAATTGAATTTACAGCTTGTCTTTGACGAAGTTTTATTTTTTAATAACCTGTTTTTTGGAGTTTTACCTAAAAATAATCTCCTAATTCTCATCCGGCGCGGCTTGAATTTCTGAACTGCTGCGTTTGCCACCCACTCTTAATTAAGATGCAGCTGGCATGGTTCAGGTGAGAAAAGTCCTCATCAAACATTACTTGAGTAAGTCTACTCACTGACCATCCAAGTTGTTAGAAGATACATGGCAGAAGTTACTCCCCATCTCAGTCAAACTTGCTGTCTCATGTAAGACTCACAATATTTTACTTGCCAAATCTGTTTATATATTTGATGCTTCAAGGCAAGGAACGCACTGCTCAGCCCCCTCCTGTTGATCGTTCACGTAAAAATTATGCAGGGAAGGTAAAATATTACAATTGAGTAAATTATTACCATTGACTATAAATTATTGTCGTATTCAATTTTTTATTCGGGAAAGATTCGATGGCTCGACACATTATGATTCATGCATTTGTTGTGGACGCCATGGTCTGCGCTGCATGTTTTCACTTGCCACGGCTGAGGCAAACCGGTGCCTCGACCAGCAATAGTCCAGGCGAGAGGTTAACGCTTAACTTGACCCACCACCTTCGGCATGGCGCCAGCTGGCTCTAGCGACTGCCTACAATGCAAACCAGTTTTGTGGATTATGAGAAGTTTACAAGTATTAAGAGAATAATATATATATACTGTGAAGAACCACCCGGAAATCCGCTTTATTTGTAATCCTTGTAAACAAGAAAGATTTCGTCTTGAGAGTTTATCGTCACGACACCTGAATTGTCAGAAATACTTGTGTGTTTATTTTGCCAAGGTCAGGCAATGCATTTCAAGAGACTCTGAATTGTATTCATTACCATCATTTTAAAAATACTTTCGCAGGTGCAAATGACGTATTGATATTAATTAATACATTTATTATTTATTAATTTAGATTGTCAAGCTATTTAAAATCACAGTACAGAAGGCTTGGGAATTACCCTAAAAAATAACCACCGAACAAACCATGTTGCACTTTTTGTGAATTTATCTTTTCTGTTTTGAAGACTCCTGATGCGTTGATATGAATGTGTTATTAATTGCGCCATGCATTCCATCTCATTCAGGCATTGAAGGTGACAAGCATGTAATACGTCATTCAATCACTAAGATACTGCAAAAGAGTCACAGCCTACCTTTGCGTTTACAGGTCTCAATAAATAGTATAACGGTTTCAACGTATGAGGCAACGCGACCCTCAAGATTGTAGGTTACTTCGAGCTTAATTGCCATTGGAATGCGGCTCACGGTCAAGACGAGAACAACAATGCTTCTGTAGTGTCTCAACTGAACGCGCGTCTGGTCTCTGGGTTCACGCGATGAATAGAAATAGTCGTCTGATGTTACGATCATATCAATGCTAACGAAAACCTTAATCATGTCTTTCATATTTGTATATTGTTTTCGCCTATTGCTTGTCGCCACGCTGATATTTTTTTCGGTAGGCCCACAAATGATGTCGATGAGAAATGGCTACATGCTGTCGTGCGCCCGAACCTTGAGTTTGGAAACATCGTGTGGTCATCGAAACTTGAAAAGGGCAAAAATTTATTATAGAGTGTTCAAAGACGTGCAACAAGGATAATTTCGGGCTTGAAGGGCAAGTCCTATGAGGAAAGATTATGAAGCTTCCCAGCCTCAGTTATCGACGTCTGCGTGGGGACCTCATTGAAGCATGCAAGTATACTCATGGCTTATACAAGGACCCAGAAGGATAAAGAAGAATTTAAAACAAGAACCAACACCAGGGGCCACGGCTATAAACTAAAAAGATAAAACTCAGTACTCACTGCAGTGAGTGACAGAGGGCGCATTTTCTCTTCGAAGAAAACGTGAAGTCGCGGAAGGACAGACGGACGGACGGACATGGCGAGCACAATGGTGCATTTTTTCCATAAATGAGAAAATGCGCTAAAAACTGCGTTGTAACAAATCCATGCGAAAACATTTCTTCTCGCTTCGAGTCACCGACATGTGGAACAGCCTTCTTGATAGCATCGTTGACGCTCCGAGCATGAACGCCTGCAAGAACAGACTAGACGAAGCTATGCAGGAGTATATGTTCAGTCTTAAAATGCCTAGCAGCTTACGCAGGCAATAAGTCCAGCAGCTATCAAAATCAATCCTCAGTTTATGAAAAGATCGGGTTCGAAAGGCTGGATCCCTTGTGAATCAAGTCACGAAAAGTACAAGAATCGGCAACAGGCCATGGGCCTATTTCTTCAGTGCCGACCTTTCTATTCTATTCTATTCATAACTACAGTGACATATTTTGCAGCCAACTGATGCCTGCCTATTTGTGGCTCATACGACGATACCTTTCGTTACATTCTTTGCTTTGGCTCAGCCTATTTAATAAAAAATAGCTCTAGTGATTAGATTACAACAAAACATTCAGATCATTTAATCGCACTAGAGGTGGTGACTAAAATGAATGTCATGTCGTCCTGTTCAGCGTGAAGGACACAATGTACAGTAGAGGCGATTTGTACGGCATGACTGAGTGCGGTTTCAAGATCTTAGGCTCCATCTCTGGTGCTTTAGGTTTTGAGATCTTGGTGCATATTCTCACAGTAGAACCTTTCCTTGTCAATGATTTAAGCGCTTATCTGTGTGCTATTATTAGTCGATAGGTTTTTACGTACCTTCAACCATACAATATGCACTTCCGTTTTAATGTCTTTCCTGTAAATTTAGTAGTTCTATTCAATAAATATTTTGTATATATAAAGTTTTTGAGCTGATTTCAGCTGGTCTGAGAAACGCTTATAAACAAGATGTGGGGAATTTTCTCTTTCACTTTTAATTCATGGTTCATCAGGGATTTGATCAAAATAATGATATAACACACATTTCAGAGAGTATTCATAAGAAATTGACTGATTTCGTGTTTGGCGCCCTTCTTAACATACAAGACATTTATTCATAAGGACCAGTTTAATCTATTGCTGACACAACATCTTTCTGATTGTCAAGTTGAGTGTTGATGAATTATGAATCTCTGTGAACCCCCACTTAATATTTTGACGGTAGCTTCGCCTCCCAAAACTTAAGTCTTGCCGACTTTTAACAAAATGAAAAAATCAACGCCAGTACAAAGTATAAATTCCTTGCCCATTGGTTGGTCTGTGAACGACCTAGTCAATTCTACTTTAGTCGTGCCAAAAATCATAGTGACATCGGCTAGTTTTGATATATTGCCAGAAATTAATGCGGAAAATACCGTACCACGCGACCTACGACCTCTACGAGTAGCGGTGGCGACGGAAGATCATAAGCCAATAGTCGCAGATGGAACAGAAGTTGCAGAAGGTGTTGTCCCTGACGCGACGACTGGCAATGAAGCGGCCGGGGTCACAAATCTGCAGTACGAGTGGGTGGGGGAGCCTCTAGGTGGTGAACTCGCTCCAGACGGCGGATGGAGCTGGCTGGTGCTGATGGGGGCTGTCTTCATGGCGGTGAGTTGGATAGTAATCTCCTCTGTACGAATCGTGTGCATAACTCATTCATTATATACGTATATATATATATAAGGAGTGAGTTATGTTATAGTGAGTTATCACTATACACTCAGCAATACTAATAAACTTTGAGCCTACATAATTTTTACATGGGCTCAAAGTATTATGATTTCTTTTTGTCATTAATATTTATAATTCTGCAATAAGTTTGCCGAGAATGTCCACCTCGTCTCATTTTAGTTCGAATATTAGATTGTAGATCATATGAAATCGATCAAATATAAACATTTGAAATTTATTTAGCGAATGGAACCAAATGTTAAACAATGGGCAAACAATCATTAAATTAAATTTGAATTAAACAAAACGTATAGGAAAAATCCCAGCAGGAAATCTAGCTAATAATCGTTATAGAAACGCTGTTCATAGTTCATGTTGTAAAACTTATAACGTAACGCTTAGCGCTCCCTATAGTTGTCCCTGCTCAGCATTGCACCCTGCTTCGGCGTGCTCTTCAACGACGTCATGCAAGACCAAGGTGTGTCCTCCACCACCCTCGCTTGGGTGTTCAACATCCACATGTTCGTCTGGAACATCACTTCAGTGTTGTGCGGGGCGCTAATCAAGCATTTCGGGTGGCGGGTTGTCGGTTGCACCGCCACTTTCCTGCTGGCTGTGTCTTTCATTCTCATGTCTTTGTCGAGGTCTCCGCTCTTCGTTTTCATCATGTTCGGTATTCTAATTGGTGAGTTGAGATTTCAACTTTGAAAATTAACCAACATTGAAAAATCACGGGAGAAAGATGCTTATTTCATTGTTAACAAAGTAATGTTTTTTTTTTTACAATGCATCTCGCTTCGTTCGTGATGGTATTGTTTCTGCTCGTTGAATTGGTTTAATTTAAGGGTGCATCGTGCCTACTTGTAAAACGAACAATTTACTAATGAATTGAAACCTTTTTGTTTGTAGGAGGACTGGGTGGGACTTCGATCATGGTTTGTTTCCTCATCCTGCCAGCCTACTTCCACAAGCGAAGGGGCATGGCGAACTCACTTTTTTCTGCGGGCATTCCCATAGGCTACGTGATTTTCCCGCTGTTGATACGCTACCTGCAAGAAGAATATGGTTTCTCCGGAGCGGTCCTAATACATGGTGGACTACTGCTAAATTGTACAGTGGCTTGTGCCTTATTTCGACCTCTAAAGTCACCACAAGTCTTGTGTCGCAAGCGTGAAGTAAATTCTCGCACCGATGGTCAAAGAACTGATCCTCTGCTGCTGCAGACGACCGACACGACAAAAACTATCGTTCCAGAAACCGAGACAGGAGCACAATCTTTGACATTTTGTGAACTGTGCGCTGACATTCTGAAAACAACTAACATTAATTTGAAGGGAATGAAGAACCGAACTCTTTTGTTACTTTCATTAAGTGTAGCTCTGTTTTTAGTTAGTACCATGAACTACGTATCCATGCTGCCGTTTGCCATGCGAGCCCACGGGTACTCTGCAAATGAGGCATCGTATGCTGTGTCATTGACTGGAATCGGTAACATAGCCGTACGAGTTTTGGTAGCTTGCATAGCTGACTCCAAATGGGTGAACCGCAAGTACGTCTACATAACTGGACTGATCATCGTCAGCGTGTGTTCTTTCCGTAAGTACTTTTCATGTTCAGGATAAGCGCGTTTGATGATAAGCAAGCTTTTACGTTTAATTTTAATAATAATTGTCCATTGAGTGTGGTCAACAACCCCCCATGAGATTAGGTAAATTTTACAATTTTGTTTTTAATGCGGATCCTCTCAATAATTTTTAGAGCAGTTCATTTTCCAGGCATTAAAATGCGTTCGGTATTTGACGGAAGCAAAGCCAGTAATAATGCGCCCTTGACAGGTATTCATTACACTTTCATGCTGTGTAAAAATAACCAGCAAACAATCACTTTGCAATTTATTTGACTACAGAAAATATTCTTGCCGTACTGCTGGACTTAATGTTCCAAGATAGTCGACTCATCAATTACCCTGAACGTTGTAACACCAAAACTGAGCGCAATGCGTCCTGACTAATAAACATTTGTTCATGCCTGCACCAAAGTAAGAAACCTCCAAAGAACCGCTTCCTTTGCTAGAAATTTTAGCGTATTTTAGTTTGCTTTTATCGATATAGTCCTCAATTTCCTTTGTGGCTTTTTCACTGATATCGTACGAATATGTTTTGAACTACTACAACCACCTGTGGGTGAAGCGATAGAATGATAGATCAATTCAGAACGCAACGGAACTCTGCAACTTCACGTTGACACTTGTTTATTTTTGCCATTTTGTTATTATTTTGCCATTTTATTTTTGCCCTCAGCAGCTCAAATGGTTTTAAGTAAATTTACGCTTTATTTCATCACTTTGGAAGATAATTTTTTGGACTGCATTTTCTCTTGCTTCGTCATGCAACCGTTAAAAACTCCGTTTATATTGAATATATATTTTTTATCTCCTTTCTTATGTTTTGCTCTACATTAGTCAAGATCTAATTCTCCAGTGCAGGTCTTATGGCATTTCTAACGTCTGTTCCTTCGATTTCATTCTAGTGACTCCATTTCTAATGGATAGCTACTCGTACTTGATGCCACTTTTCGTTGTGTGGGGCGTCGGCTTAGCAGCTTCGAGTTCCATGTTCCTGGTGCTTCTCATTGACATGGTCGGCATCAGCAACTATGAGTCTGGCACCACAGTCATTGTCTTCCTACTAGCCTTCATCTCAATCTCCGCTGGACCAGCATTCGGTGCGAATATTAAAAGATACCCATTTTTTTCACATGAGTAATCTATCATAATTATTGAGTTATTATTCTTAAATAGTGATCAGTTTAGCATATAAGTTGAATTTGTGTCTTTTTACCTCATTTCACAACTTAGAATGACTTTTTTTTTGTCTCGGTTGCTATTTATTTTCAATTCGGACAATATCTCGCAATACAGTCACAGTATAAATTAACTACCGTTATCTTCGAGATCATAATGGTATTCTCCTAAATGCTTTGATAAAAAATATGGCACGTAACTCTGAACAAGTATGTCCTAAACTTTGAAAGAATTTTATTGATGACAACAAAAAACTTTTACAAGGGGTTCACCAATAAACACGAGGCAGTGCGTACTTTTAGATGGATTCGGCCCAACTTTAACATCAACTTTGCAAATTAAGTCAATCGACACTAAACCACATTTGCCGCAGGTCACATTCGCGACAAGACTTCATCGTACACCTGGAGCCTGGTTGCAGTGGCGATTGCGCAGGCTTCGTCTGCGTTGCTGTGGCTCTTCATGCCGTGGGCGATACGTCACACTATGAAGGAGGCACGAGCCTCCATCGTCTCGTCCAGGCGCAGCACTCGCAATGCATCTCATCCTCGTTTGAGTCCGTTACCATCAACACGAAATCCCTCCAGACGAGAATCTTACCCAGCTTTTCGGCAAAACTCTCAATTTGCTTCAAGACGAGACTCTCATCCTGCACATAGACTAGACTCACGCCAATCTCCTAAACTAGACTCAGAATTTTCCGATTCTATTCTTCGCCTATACGGAGCCAATAAAAGCAGCATGGTACCTGAAAGAGGAGCCTCATCTGCAAGAGAGCCTGTCAGCGGCATGACTACAACTTTAATTCCCTCCGTAATTCTTGGTAGCGAAGAAGCACCGCCATCAATTCAACAAATGAGCTCGATGAGAGAAAGTTAGACCTTTTTATTGTTATAGCAATGAAACATTCTTGTTAATATTATTACAATCACAAAAAATCTTGATGAAGACGATCAACTTAGAAATATAATGTACATACTTTGTATGATAACATGTAATTTCCTTAGAATATAATTTTATTTGTAATAAGTTTTAGTGCAGGTTCGTTGTTTCTAACTTAATCCTCCTGCACGACGAGTTCACTTTTATCATACTTAAATTTTTACATTCATTCAAACTTCTGAAAACCGAATTTCGATTTCAGAAAGTCAGGCTTATAGAAGACGGGCTCTTAAAGTTCTGAGAATTTCTTCGCGCTAGCATCACAGCAGAATTTGCCATAAACCCAGACTTGAGACGAACTGCTCCTTTGTCGTATTCGTCACCAGCAGCTGAGCGTTGTTCGGATTCGCTGTCTTCTGATTCCAAGTCCCCAAACTTTTCTCGGTCGTGCATCCTAGCGAGCGGCATAAACAGCCACAGCAAGGCGCAGCACAACTCAAATGTCGCTGCCATGGCAATGCTAACTCCATACGAAGTGTAGTCTGCCGCCAGTCCTGTTACATGAAAGTATGAGCTCACACATACGACTGAACAAATCTCCTTCAGCGTACGGAATAAAACGCTACACGGCACACATATTAAGCCCCAAAACGAACTAGAAAACGCGCTTGAAATGCACATATTATTGTTCAAGGCCACTAAATCCAAAAGCCTATATCACCCAGATTTACTCTCTCCAACCCGACCATAAAAACATTCCTGCAGCACGCAGCAAACATGGCTAAAACAACACTCCTGCAGCAAGCAGCAAACATGGCTAAAACAACACTCCTGCAGCACGCAGCAAACATGGCTAAAACAACACTCCTGCGGCAAGCAGCAAACATGGCTAAAACAACACTCCTGCGGCACGCAGCAAACATGGCTAAAACAACACTCCTGCGGCAAGCAGCAAACAAGGCTAAAACAACACTCCTGCAGCACGCAGCAATCATGGCCAAAACTAACTTTAAAACAGTACTAAAATAATGCACCAAAGTAATAGGATTAAACTTGATACTTTAACTCATCTCAGCAACATCATCATGAAATCACAATTTAATCGCTCCGCAATTATGATAAACCCTCGTTATATTTGCTTCACTAAGTTCTGAACATGAACGCACAAAGATACCGGTTGTCTGACTAATATTCTTAGTTACTAAAGATTCTTGTCTACGACTTGACGTACCACACTTTGCAAATGACACATTCAACTAATTTTAGCGCCTAAATTGGCTTACATTATAATTTATCTAAGTCGTGGATTTCTATAATTCACAATTGCAGGTGTAAAACATACCGATTATTGGTCCGGTCACGATGGAGATGAAGGCGAGCAGCAGCCCCGTGACCGCCACGCCGGCGTTGTAGAGGGACAGGCCGCACGTGTCGATCATGAGGCTATGGAAGACGCTCAGTATCGCACCGATGCCAACACCCCAGATTACTTGGCACGCCATTATCCACCGCACGTCGTGTAGGAAATAAACTGTCGCTGTAAATTATAATCAATAGAAACAAAAATATATTAGAAATATATTGATTTATATGCAGCACAAAACAAGGGATGAATTGAACTTGTGCAGAAAATCGGAAGGAACAAATGCCCACTCAAAACTTTCAAACAATAGTACAGTACTTATCATTCAAGGCATTTCAATAAGAGCTAGAGGAAAAATTATTAATCATAATTATTATTATTCATAGATGCAGAAAACATTTAATAGGAATAAATTATAAACCAGAATTCTTCACAATTCGCAATGAACATAGACAAAAAATTCGTCTTGTCATCCATCTTTGCCAAATTTATATTATTTTAGGCTAACAAATCTAGAACCAACCAAATTTAGCTACCAAATGTTGCGAGCGCGGAAGAGGAGGAGCCGAAAAAGTAACTTGTTTTGCGGTTGAACCAAGCTTTGTCGGAGAAACAGCTGACGAAAATTCGAGTAGCAGTGTTGGCGACGGCCCCTGCGGACACACAGTACGACGCCATCGACGGAGCGTGTCCATGAGTTGCCATTGCGAACGGCAACAGAGCCATGAAGTTTTGGTATCCAATGATCAGAAATGAAAAGCTCAGGGTCATGATTAAAAGCTTCAAATGCTGCAGCTTCTTTGCTCGGCTCCATGTTATTTTCATGATTTCTTGTGTCGTCTCAATTGCAGACATTCCTCGGCCGTCGGGCTCAGTCTCACCATTATTATCGTTATTATTCAAAATTTGCGACAACATAGGAGTCCGTACTTTTTTATTAACTACTGAATCGTATAGTGCATCTCCTCTAATAATAGGTCTTTCGGGCACGGGGTAGTATAACAAGCTTAGAACGGCACAATTTAAGACTAAACCGCCAAATATCAGACAGGCTCCAGGGAATCCGTACTCGTCTAGTAAGAACCTCAACAGCAGAGGAAGGATCATCTGACCCGATGATACCCCGGTGATGATAATGGCCGCCGCGCGACCTCTGTGATCCTCGAAATAGTGAGGCAGGGTCAGATATCCGACGATGGAAGTCAGACCCCCGCTGCAACCTGTCGAGATGGATAGTATAAACTCTCCTACACCAATTACAAAATAAAAAAACGTTGTAGTACTATAGATATCATGTTAATAAACTGAGCCAAAAGTATTAAACAATATTTCATTTATAGTCCGACCCTCAATTTACTTTAAATTACACATTTAGTGTAAATGCAACAACGGCAACGAACAATAGTTCGATCGCAATAATCTTATTTACTTCTATAAACTCGACCAATGAAGAAAGCCAAGCAAAACAATTTCAAAGTGCAACTTCATTACATTTCGTTTGTGGGAATACGTAATTTGATTCGATGTTTCTATTCTCCTACACCTCTTTTTCCTCGATTTTAAAAATCAGCTTGCTTACTGGGACCTTGTTGTCAATTCTAAGTTCATATACTTTAGTAATTTAGGAAAAACATTTCTCTTAAAGAGTACGATTGTTATGGTGGTAATGCTTGTCAAGTTCCCACCTATGACAAAACTGAATAAAAAGAATACGAGCCCGGGTCCTCGCACGAAGATCATGAGCACGTAGCCCAGGCTGGTGACGCAGGACATCACGAAACCGACTTTCCTCCAACCGAACACGTCGCACAATGAGCCGCTGAACACACTCGATAAGTTGAAGTTAAAGTTGAACAAGTTGAAGATCCATGCAACCGTAGTAGACGACACCCCCATGCTTGTTAGTTTCTCGTTGAAAAAAATTCCGAATGAAAGGGGAATTCCAAGAAGAACGAACTGAAAAACAAAATGTTTTCTAAGTTGACATGAAATTTAGGGGTTTTTTGCTTTTCTTTCGTTTTAGATTTCATTTTCCGTCTATGTATTGACGGAATACATAGACGGAAATTGAATTGAATCATAATAATCATACAATAATTGAATATCACAATAATCTGATTTTGAAGTTTCTTGACGGAATATATAATAGTGATCTACATGGTATTTTGATACCATGAGTACACTAAATTTATTCTATTTTAAGTCACTTACGGAATTCATGAAGGCACTCGCGACCACCACCCACCCCCAGCCGCCGTCCGGGACTTCGTCGCTCTTCTTGCGCGGCGTGGCCATGCTGCGCGCCGGCCCACCCTGCCTCCGCTGGCGTTCAGTTAAATTCTTACCCTCGAAGCTCTGTCAAATTTGTTGCTACCACTTCCTATGCTTACATAATTATCGGCAAAACATAACACATACTTTTTCTTTAATTTAAAGCCTCTCAACCGAAAACACGCTATCATTACTCATTTTGAAAAAGAGTTCTGGTAGTGCGAACCTTGAAAGGAGCATTTAATCTGTCAGTGGTAACTTGCTTAATTATATGTTACAAGCTCTGTTCGTAACGATTGTAGAACCCACCGTCGATTATTAACAATTTACCCGTGATTTAATTCTCCAGGTTAACCACTTGTTTCCACACAGTATAGCGTGCAAAGCTCCGACTAATGAACTTATTTATGTGACGGTTTTTTACTTTCTATTATAGGCAAGTTAGCTACACGTTTACTATTAGAGCAAGTGCAGCTGTGATTGTTCTTACTGAGCCTCAGTGATTTCTCTATTTCGTCAAAGAGGCAGTCATTCATTATCGATTTAGCGATATGTTATCGAAAGCATCAGACAAGTTGTACCGAAGCGAGAAGTCATCATCTGTATCAAACCAAGTATTATCGACATCATAAAACGAGAATTTATCGCTTGCATCAAACGAGGTATTACCGAAATGAGAAGTCAACATCTCCATAAAATCTCTCGAGAAATAACGAATTTCAGGAAACAAGTAGGCCTATACATCTGCTGCATCAACACAAGCTCGCCTTGTGTAGCCGTTCTCAGAATTCAATTCATTCGTCGTAACTCGCTTCTTTCTCATGTTGACCGACGCCTCTTGCCGCCACACAAGACATTGACTGGCGATTCATGAACCTTGCAAACGAAACCAGTGCGAGCCGTCATAAAGCAAGCGTTTGTGAACATTTGTAAGCTGAGGTGCAGCAACTTACCCTTTATTGAAAGTTATAAATGGATTCGTGTTTGGAGATACCAGATAACAAAAATTTCCGTTTACCCTTTGAAGGACGATTAAAATTATGCATGAGCGAACTTTAAAATCTGGAAAATTAAATATAAAAGATGGTCGAGCGGATCAAGTAACTAGTCATCACCAAAGCAAGTTGTTAGTTTTAACACTTATTTCTCCAAATGGACTATCAAAAATGATAACATCAAGCATATATTCTTTTGCCAAATGACTAAACCCAAATTCTGTAAACCCCATAGGAATAGCATTTGTTCAGTACAATCTATTACACCATCCTAATATCCAATTCATTGCTCTGGATTGGGTAGTGGTGCTGGTGCTGGTCCTCTACCGTACCTGACGTATGACCTACAATGATGACGGCTACTCTCACACTGAACCGGCGGCTTCAGTCCTTCAGTTCGTAACTTCGTATGTGTACTTAGATCGTATGAACGAATCCGTGCTCTGCATAATTATTGTATCCCAGTGCAAACACGTGCACTTACAGCGAACATATCAAGTCGTGCCCAGACAAGCGAGCTTTGCTAAATCATGACATCAAAACTGCGTCCTACACAGGTTATCACACAGGCGCTGGTGAGTTGTATTATACATCTGTTTTTTTATATATTTTCAGTGTTAAAATGATTCTAAGTAGCATAGTCTATATTAACATTCACTGTTCTTGATCACATTCGACGTTGTTTTCTGCCGTCTATCTTCGTACGTTGTTAGTCCTCTTGATTGCTTGCTCACGACTGACCCCTGGCCTAACCTCTCAGCTCACAACCACACAACAGTTGGCTCGGTATGGACATTTGAACATTTTTTTACAGGTCCATTTGACAGCCACGAAATTTGGTATCATTCAGCACCTACACTAAACAGATTTCCTAAAATGCCGCGCCAAAAACATGCGGAGAAGCTCAATAAAACTTGAATTGAGGACTCTAGATATTGCAAATTTATTATTGAGCCATTTTTTCTCGCTGAAATTAAATTAATAAAATATAACAGATGACATTTAATACGCTCTCACTTTTTAGAAGTAACAACCATCTACATAAAACAGAATAACATACCAAATGATCAAATAAACACTGACCACGTTAAGATAGTATTCGCTCCGCTAAAATTTTTTGCAAAGGAAACGAAGGAAAAAATATGATTTTTCGCCAAAATCTGAAAGAAAAAACGCGTTCAAAAACTGAATATTTCGCCGCAGGCAAAAACAGAAAATTAAAATCACTGGAAACAGTTATAAGTTATATAATTAATAATCAAAATACAAACTAACTAGCTATATCATTCGTGAATCCATCACAGATTTTGTTTTAGTAAAGTTTTTTCCATTTAATATAAATTAATCACCAATGGTTATAATGTAGTATAAGAATTGCCGGCATGAAATTTTTCTATGAGGTCATTCAACTTGTTCAAGACGCTGTGACGGAAAAATAAAACAAGAAGCATATCACGTCTGTCGTACGCCATCGCTCGCACATGCGCCCGAGAATCTTGGCAAATGATCAAATGTTGACAGCATCGTGCTGGGGGATGTCCTGTCAGTATCACAGTACGTGTTTTAGACATGTATTGCCAGGTGATAGTCGCGAAACTTTGAGTGTTTTCTTCTCAAGCATGAACCTGGAAATGCATAAGGATGATCACGCTTTTATCTCCAAAGCTTATCGTGCCGCTATGTCACCGAGGAATAAAACCTTTATTAGTGAAATGATCGAGAGGCATTGAAAATGGAAGGGGAGAATTAGATTTATGATTTTACTTCTTTATTTTACTTGGGAAGGCATTTATTTACTTACATTTTACTATGGTAGATTTGTTTTAAAATAGGAAGTATAAGTTTTCGTTAAATTTCCATACGGTATTATTATAAGATTTCCATATGGTACTATAATTGGAGTTTCATGCTCATTTTTGTGTGGCAACTTGTCTTTCTTCAGTTAAGTTCTTTCGTTTCTTTGGTTTTCGTTGGATTTTGGATTATGTTACCACGGAACACTTGCTAAGTATTCCGTCGTTGGCTAATTTGCTAGTTGTTGAATATTTTAGTTGAAATACTGATGACGGGCTTATGGCTATAGACTGTAATAATTTGACGACGATTATATACGAGAACTGTAACAAAAGGCTAGCAGCAACTTATTTCTAGCCGCGATCTGTCCAGTGCCTCTGCGTTCTCTTCATCAAATCATCCATCCCTATTATGCAACATGCTTAATATTTACGTTGTAGTATAATCATCAACAGTACATACAAACAAAACGTCTTCCATTGCGCCTTGTCACTGACACGCTTCATAGGCTGTTTTGCAGTGCGTTACTAATGTCCACTTAACGCCTCAATATTACTGTCACGCTGCTTGCATTTGTGTGATGCCGGTACGCTGCTTGGAGATCGTTAGGTACACAGAATCGTAAGATTTTCTCATTTTATAAGCGAAATTCTACTGTGGCGCCTTAATTAATTGCCTGGAATTTCCTGAGATACAACACAATTTCAAAATATTCAGCTAACATTGCTCTATTCTGAGCACATGCATGCCCTGTAGAAGAATGATAAAAAAAAATTATGGGCATGTTTCGTTGCAATTCCGTACCTATTAATGAGTATATTTCCCAAAATAAAAGCATGCATATTCGCAAATAAGACTTAATAGTTCACGTACAAGCAAAAGCCTTCATTCTTGATGAAAAACTCAACACTGATTGAGGCACTGCAATTATGTGACGTTGGTCTGGATTTTCGGCTAATGACTGAAACCTATAAGTGACGAATAATTGAATGTGAAGTCCATAGTATCCATGCAGTGTCAAGTGATGTATTAAGTTTTAGAATCGGCTCATGCACGGCCAGTTATTTAATTCAAGTATCCTCGAAGTGTGCTGGAGTGGCTATGATAGTTCCTCACCCAATTAGTCATCAAATGAATAGCAACATGTTTAGGCCTACAGTCTTTTGAAAATATGAAAATAAACTCATTTCATTAGAAACTAAATGATGAGAAGAATTTTCGGGTGTGAGCTGATCATAGCTGAACTGTAGCTATATAACCTGGATCATTGAGGAGGCCTTCTAACAATTTTCCACTAGAATATAATATGCGTTTAAAAAGTACTTCTTAAGACAACACTTCTAAAGAGGCCACATGTCTCCCTTGTTACTTACACATTGTACAATGAATTTCTAGTTTTCTTTTTATATATTTAAAAAAATTTAATTTTTCAAATTTTTACTAATAAATAAAAAATTATTTTTAATGTATATTTTTTATATTTACAACGAAATTTTAATGTTCAAATTATTCATTCTGTCAATTAATTCAAGCATTGTCTCTGACTTTACGCAAGTAAGCTAACTTTCAGGTCAGTTGGACAATTAGAAGTGCGTTAAAAAATATCGATTATTAGATTTGTTACAGAAAAACAACAAGAAGTGAAATTAAAGAGAAGTGTTGTAAAAACTGCGATCATGGCACGCTGACCCGTCATTTGTTGAAAACGCACAGTAAGATATTAGATTATGAATTGTTATAAGTGTACCACGGGTCACCTAATGGTAGTCGATAGTTTACACTTTACACTAATGACCACGAAGCACCTCAGTTTACATGCGAATAGTTTCGTACTAGTCTCCGACATTGTAGTGAAGCTGTTTAGACGGTCTCTAATCTCAAGAGTTGACCAGTTCTCGATAAGCCTTGGTTATCGCTCTTTCACTGCATGATATTCCAAGACAAGGTCAACAATAAAACTTTCTCACCAAATTCTGAGTTAATAGATCTCATTAATGTTATTATAACTACTGAGATTCGTATCGTCTTCTGGGCCAGCTAGACTGAGATAGCAAAATAGATTGTGCTCCGTTGCTTGATAATTACTTCATAATACCCTAAAAGATCCATTCTTATATCAAAGTATGATTTAATTATGTATTTAATCTAATACGATCACTCTGTACCTCAATGCTTTTATATAGAGATCTTGCTAGTCTTTTTCTGATTTTTTTTCATACAGCATTGATCGTTTCATACATCACATTTTTATATTTAGATTGTATTTTGAATGTTTGACTGAAAATTTTTCAATGCTTAGCAGAGGATTTTGTACATAAATTGTACATAAATTTTTCGAATGCCATCAATTATTAATATATTGTCTCGGGATTTCTCCAGAAGTGAAGAATTAAGATCACTATTGGAACCGTGAGGCGACGCCAAACAATTAGACGGTGAATATAAATCTTAGTAAAGACCAAATATAATTAACTTGTTTCACATTTCAGCAAATCTTCTATTTATTTCCGAAAGAAACATTTTATCTAAATTACAATTATATAATTAAATTATCCACTTTGTGATACTTATCCTATTTGGTTTTAAGTAGTACATCATTTGTTTTTTAATATGTATACTTTATAAATAGTACTCTTTTTTTACCTCAATCTCACGTTTGGGTATTTGTAGCCACCAATTATATATTCATCAGCTGCTTTTATTACACGTATTTTATTTGAAACTTGTAGAAAATTTTCCATGTTTACGTGCATTATTCACATGCTTCAATCGTTTAAAGCGTCCGCATAGCTAGTCGTGCAGCCGTTGGCAAGTCATGCAGTGCATACCACACAGCATGCATGAGTAGCGTGCCACTCACAGCATGAGTAGCGTGCCACTCGCAGCATGAG